ATGAACGAAATGTACTGACTTGGTCAGCCTGTCCACAATGGCCCATACCGCATCGAACATCCTCTGAGTCTGTGGGAGTCCAATGACAAAATCCATAGTGATACGCTCTCAGTTCCACTCAGGAATCTCTAACTTCTGAAGCAAACCACCAGGTCTCAGATGCTCGTACTTTACTTGCTGACAATTTAGACACCGAGCAACATATGCAACTATATCCTTCTTCATCCTTCTCCACCAGTAATGATGCCGCAAGTCCTGTACATCTTGGCGGCACCCGGATGGATAGAATATCGGGAACTGTGGGCCTCATCAAGAATAAACTCACGAAGCCCATCCACATTGGGCACACAAATACGACCCTGCATCCTCAAAACCCCATCATCTCCAACAATAACTTGCTTGGCACCACCGTGCCTCACTATGTCCCTAAGAACAAGCAAATGAGGGTCATCACACTGCCGCTCTCTTATGCGCTCATACAAGGAAGACTGAGCGACTGCACAAGCTAGAACACGACTGGGCTCTGAAACACCTAACCTCACAAACTGATTGGCCAAAGCCTGAACATCTTATGCAAGCGCTCTCTCACTAACTGGAATGTACACAAGGCTGCTCATACTCACTACCTTTCTATTCAAGGCATCGGCCACCACATTGGCCTTCCCGAGATGATACAAAATGGTGATGTCATAGTTTTTCAATAGCTCCAACTGATCTCCTCCAAGTCACACCTCTATTTAAGATTATGAAACAGTCGATACAATAGTAATACCCAACAAAGAGTCGGGCTCGATTTTCTACAGGGAGTTATGAATGGGACTTAGGGGTATATATTATAGTGTATGAGCTTGAATTATCTCAAACTGCACTTCCACAAACTTGGGTTGTTTCTAGGCCTAATTTAAACTAAGATTACCAACTAAGAATTGAAACTAGAAATTTGTTTTTCAAAAAATATAAAAGGCCTAGGGCTATGACCTTCACCTAGGTGTTTCCCTAACGGATTGTAAACTTAAAACTTATTTTATTGGTCGGGGTGTATTATAGCTATCAACACTCAAGTACTCATTCAATACCTCTCTTGCGGAGAGTGATTTTGCCCAATTTGGCTTTCTCAAGTCCAAATGGGTATTGAAAACAACGGTTGATAAAGAGCTCAAATCGGGTTTTACTATCTCTAGGTTTAACCATTTAATTGGGCTAATCAATCTCTCGATTGATCCAATTTCTTGTTAGCCAAGTTTATCTAGACTAAGCCTCTCTTTCTCAAGTAGATACTAAGTCAAATAGGTATGATCTAATATTTGCAACCATTAATTCTACAATTAAAAGCAAGAACAAGGCTAAATAATAAACATCCAACCATAAACAAGCAATCAATCAAACACCCATTAAGATTACACTCTAGGGTTGGGTCACAACCCTAGTGAAAATCTAGCTACTCATGCTTAAGATAGAAGAAATAGAAGAAATGATAATTAAACCCATATTGATGATTAAAATGATAGAAATCTATATTCAAAAAGCTCAACATACCAAAAACTACTAAAGTGAGTAAAGAAAACTGTCTAGTGTAGCAGCTGATGTCAAAATAATTGTGCGGTCCGCACTTTTGTTTAACTTGAGATGCAGGTTCTCTGAACTTTTGCTCTTACCCCATTTCTGCGGCCGCACATATCATGTGCGGACCGCACTTTTCACACTTCTCTTAGGTGTTTCTTAACATCCTGCGGCCGCAGATGATAAACTGCGGTCTGCATTTGTGAGCTTTTGTGCTTGTTTTTGTCCTTAAGTTCATATCACTCCTTCTTGAGTTGGATTTCATCTTGGGAGGTCATACATCCAATATTCATGCAATTAAGCACATTTCATCACTTTACGGAAACACATTAAGCGCTTTTGGACTAAAATGAGAGCTAAAAGGCGCTAATAAGTAGTCCAAATCTCCACTTATCAACTCCCCCAAACTTAAGCTTTTGCTTGTCCCCAAGAAAATAAGGTAACTTCCACCTCCACAAGTTAAGAGCTATTCCAGCTAATCAAAGATGCATCAATCACACATCAGTTGGGACCAACAATTGTCACACCTCCTTTTTTACACACCCGAAGGTATATATAAGGGAGTTTTCCCACTTTAAGTGACATTATTCGAAATGGGATTATTTATTTATCAGAGTCGCCACTTGGGATAGTTTATTTGGTGTCCCAAGTCACCGGTTTATTTTACAAATCCCAAATCGAGGAAATTCGACTTTCCTTTTGAAGTCTGCGAACCAGAAATTCTGAATAAGGAATTATGTTAACACGGGAGAAGGTGTTAGACATTCCCGGGTTCCGTGGTTCTAGCATGGTCGCTTAAACTATTATAATTGGCCTATTATCTGATTTTAATATATGTTTTAACCTATGGTACATCTTAACTTATTAGTCGCTTTTAATTAATTTAGGAAGATTCAACGTTATCTAAAACACGTCTTGACCACGTCACATGAAATGCACCCGCGGTCCACGACACATTTTATTTAACGTTGTTGAGATTTGGAGTTGTGTCACATGAAATGCACACCCGAATTTAGGAAATTAATTTAAATAACGCGCCTAAAACAACTATGCACTTCGGGTTATCTCCTAATCTAATTTGAGATTATTGCAGGTCATGAGTTTATTGAACGAATATGTGGAGAAATATGCATTATTATGATATCATTGGGCTTGACACAATTTATGATTTTGACCAAAACTAATTCAAATCTGTACTTTAAGTATTTAGGGTCCGTCACTCTTCAATTTCACATTCACTACCTCATGATCCACTAATTTTATCCACAACTCAAATATACTTCACCCTCCCTCAAAAGTCAAGCATAAAACAATTATGAAGAGAAAATTTTTAACAAAAAACTTAAAGAAATGCATCAGATTAAAGGAAAAAAAAAACTACTGACATAATATTCATTATTGACAACTCATCTAATGGAACAAATTTGATTGCCGTAAAGCTATTCAACTTTAACTATATGAGTTTAATAGCAACTCCACATTGAATACACAAATTTAATAACCAAACTCAACCTTGCACACCCAATAATATAAGACGGCAAATCCAAGTAACCAAACGTGAAGCTCCAAATCAGTGACAAGCAAATTATAAGAAGAATGGTCGAAGCAATTCCTGAAGAAAAAGAAAATGAACTGACCTTTTAATATTTGAAATATAATCTTCAATACATCATAAAGAGAAGAGAACTGCTAAAACTTTCGCACAAACAACCCGCGATCCGATCGAGAACCCGCGCCGGCGCCGGAAACCTTGAACCCAACTCAAAAACTCGACTGAACTTGGGTGGCTTACACAGTTAAAACGAACCTCTGTTCGTCGGCAAACATGATGCGACAACGACTATTTTTGGGGTGGTTTGGTGCTGCGTGTCAGCTGGTTTCAGGGTTGGTTATTGCGAGCTGCTGCTCTGTTTTTCGGCTGTGTGTGTGTGAGTGGTGAAGGCTGTGTGTAAGCTGTTGTTGGGATCAAGAAAAAGACTAGAATTCAGATGGGGTTATCTTATGGTTGAAGAAGAAGCTGAACGATGGGGCTGGGATCTTGAAGAAGACGATGATGGCGGGGGTCGTCGTTTGGAGAAGACGAAGCAGCCAACTTTTAGGCTTTTTATTTTTTGTCTTTTTCCCAGCTGTGTATTTTTTAGCCCCCAGATCTGTTGTCCTCCTTTGTGAGGTCAATGTGTGTGTGTTATACAGAATAGAAAGAAAGAGAAAGGAAAGGTTTCCCAAAACGTGATCAGTGTCCCAACAATATAGGACAGAAAAATGGGAATTCTGCTCCATGTCAGTCCAAAACCTGAGAGGTGTAAAAATTTGGTTACAAAAGAACCTTTACTACTTGGTCATTTCTGATTGGCTATTTTTTTTTTTGTTTCATTTTTCAATTCAATTTTTTTTTTAAGATAAATAAAGAGAAATACAAAAATAAACATATTAGCCAAACTATCTTTTAGATTAGAAACATTTACAAATACTACTACCGAAAACTTGCAAAATCACTAATCTTTCTAAAATTAAAAGATGACGTATTTTTTTTTTGTCATTTTAATTTAATTAATTACTTCTTTTTTTTTTTTAAAGTAAAACCTATAAAAGGTAAAACAAAAGTTAAGATATCTAGATTAAATTTAAAGATATTTACATACTAAAAGATTGTAAAGAATATAAAAAATGGTCAAAAATTAGATGCTCATAGCTGCCCCTCTTTGCTCGGAAACACGAAGAGTTTTCGGGCAAAGATAAAGTGAGTCATGTGACTAATTTTTGACCATATCGTTATTCAAAAGAGGAAGAAAATAAAAGACAAAGGCGCAACCGAGTCCTGGTTTTGGACAGCCTACATATCCCGGGTTATAAGGGAATCAGGTCGTGTGTAGTTCAAGGAGCTTTTAGAATGATGAGTTCGAGAGTCAAGTGAGGTTCCGTCCGAGGCTCTGGTCTGCGGTCCCGTTATTACATCAGAATCAAAAATGAAAAAGACTAACTAAGCCTATCAACTATATTGAGATTATTGTATTTTGTGGTATGTTAGTGTATTGTATTTATCAGATAGTTAGTTGGGTGTAGAAGGGTAGTATAGCCATTACAGTCATTAGCTATGATTCTATTTTCACACACGTGTATATATGCTTTGTCTCTTAACAGTTGCAGAATATAGAGAAAATTTCCAAACTCTCTCTCTTTCTAGAATATTCTTCTTCTCTCTAATGGAAGCTCGAGGTCAGCCACAATGGAGGTTGGCCTTGTACGCTAGCTTCATTTCGACATGGTATCAGAGCCCAACTCTAATCGCTCATCTTCTCTCTTTCTCTAATCACAAAAATCTGCTCAAATCGGAAAGATACAAGTCCATACTTGACGAAAGGGCTTTCTGAAAATTCTCACCCAATTTCTTCAAAATTTTGGTATCAATTACTTCATCCTCTGCTAATTCACCTCGTTCAATGGCTAGAGACAAGGAAGATCAAAACACAACTGGTAGCATGGATCTGACTAGTCCGTTGTACATGCACCCGTCGGAGAGTGCCAGAACAACGCTAGTTCCTGTTGTTTTCGACGGAACTGGGCATAGGTCCTGGAGAAGAGGAGTCCTTAGGGCTTTGTCAGTAAAGAACAAAGTCGGATTCATCAATGGAAAGTGTAAGAAACCTAAAATTGATGAAGTGACCTACGACCAGTGGGCTCGTTGCGATGACATGGTTACGTCCTGGATTTTGAACTCACTCTCGGAGGATCTAGCTGACAGCTTGCAATATGTCAACGACGCTAAGGAATTGTGGCAGGAACTCGAGGATAGGTATGATCAGACCAATGGAGCGAAGTTGTATCAACTACAGAAAGAAATTAATGACCTTAGCCAAGGCACTTTGGATATCACAGGATATTACACAAAAATGAAACGACTTTGGGAAGAACTGAATACCTTGAATGCACATGCACAGTGCAATTGTCAATGTATTTGTGGTGCAAAAGCGAATATGCAAAAGGCTGAGCAGGATCATAAGCTAATTCAGTTCCTAATGGGCCTAAATGAAGTCTACACAGTCGTGAGAGGCATTATATTGATGATGAATCCCTTGCCCAACATAGCTCAAGACTTCTCTATCCTAATCCAGGAGGAAAAACAGAGAGAGGTTAAGCCGAACAACAAATTAGTTATGGAATAAACTTCATTAAATGCAAATGGACCTGGAAATGCTAAGTTCAGAACAAACTACAATCAGAGGGGAGGTAATACAGGGGAAAATTCATACAATTCTAACAAATCAGGCTATCCATCTGCTAGGACTCGGATGTTCTGTGATTATTGCAAAAGGCCAGGACACACCAGGGACATTTGCTATAGAATTCATGGATTTCCGCAAGACTTTAAATTCACAAAGGGGAGAAATGTTGCATCTGCTGCAAATGTTCATGTAGATTCTGAGGAAATGGAAGGAGGAAATCAAAGCCAGGGGCTTCAGAGCTTGACAAAGGAGCAGTACAATCAATTGCTTAACTTGCTGGAGAAATTTCCTGGGAGAAACACATGAGAGGGCATCGACAACAACATGACTTGTGGAGCTGCAAACTTCGCAGGTATTCTATCTTGTTCCACTTATAAAGAGATTGCTGAAACAACTGTGTGTAGATGTTCTAAATCAATTGCTGACCTATGGATAATAGATAGTGGTGCCTCAAATCACATGACATACAGAAAGTCCTTTTTAAAGAATGTTAGAACCTTACCCTATCCCTTCTTAGTCGCCCTACCAAATGGATATAGAGTAAAAGTGACAGAAATTGGAGATACATCCCTTGGTCCCATGTTAACCTTAGTTAGAGTTCTCTATGTGCCCACTTTCAAGTACAATCTCATCTCTGTTCATTCCCTAACTGATTATCTCAATTGCATAGTTAATTTTAGCAAATACCTTTTGTATGATGCATGCCCCTTCAATGAAGAGGACTCTGGAGATTGGTAAGGCAAGGAGTGGATTGTACTTCCTTTGCCCTGAGTGTCATGGATCTTCAAAGTCCGGTTCCTTTTCTGTTTCTGTAAACCTTTGTTCTTACCCTTGTTTTCCTGCATTGACTGATGTTGTACATACAGGAAAGAGTCATAACTCATCTAGGAAGTCCTTGTCAAATGTAGATAAGTCATCTCAATCTCACAACAATGTCAATGTAAATACATTTCACTCAAGAAATAAAACTGACTCTTCCTCTAATGAGATTTCTCTTTTGTTATCCTTATCATCTCATAAAGACAATAATGAACATCTATGGCATAACAGACTAGGCCATGTACCTTTTGTGAAAATGAGAACTATTTCCACCATACCTGTTGATTTTTCCCACAAACAGCCTTTCACTTGTCATATCTGCCCCATGGCAAGGCAAACAAGATTACCCTTCAGTCAAAGAACTTCATCTTCCACCAAAATATTTGAACTTTTGCACATAGATCTTTGGGGTCCCTATCACATAACAACCCATGACAATTACAAATACTTCTTTATAATGGTTGATGACTTTAGTAGATCAACATGGACTCATCTCTTGAGCAGTAAAAGCAACACTCTCCAAGCCATCAAAGCTCTCATCTCCATGATTGAAAACCAATTTGATGCATCAGTTAAGGCTGTTAGGTCAGATAATGGGCTGGAATTTGTGAATAATGAGGCCATGTTATATTTCCAAGGAAAGGGCATAATCCATCAGAAAACTTGCCCATATACACCACAACAAAATAGTGTGGTTGAAAGAAAATACAAGTACCTATGAGAAACAGCCAGAGCATTACTCTATCAATCCAAATTACCAATGAAATACTGGGGAGAGTGTATTCTGACTGCTACATATTTGATAAATAGACTGCCTTCCTCAATTCTTAACAACAAATGCCCATTTGAACTTCTCTATAACAGAAAACCAACCTACTCACACCTTAGAAGCTTTGGTTGCTTGTGCTATGCCACTACACTCAAAACTCACAAAGACAAATTTGAACCTAGAGCTACCCCTCATGTGTTTATAGGGTATCCTTTTGGGACCAAAGGGTATAAAGTTCTCAATTTGACCACAAAGAAGGTACATGTGTCTAGGGATGTTATATTTCATGAAAACATTTTTCCCTTTGCTGTTTCTCCTGAACACTCTTCTTTTCCTTCTGTGTTAGACATGATAAATCATAATTCCACTTATCCTCATTCCACAGTAAATTCATTTGATAGTCATTACAACCATGGTAGGGATGCACCAACTTCTGTCACTGAAAGTCCCACATCTGATGTACCAGACATTAACCATCTATCACACCCCACAAATATATCAAACCACATTCCATATGAAAATCAAAATCCAGAACCAGACTCAACTGAAGTGCACCTAGAACCACATATAACACCATCCAACCAAGCATCACAAGACATGGAACCCAATGTTAATCAAGTGACCAATTATCCCAGAAGATCAACCAGGACCCTTAGCACACCCTCACACCTCAAAGACTATGTCTGTACATTACCAAAGTTACAAACAAACAATCACTTGAACAACACTATGAATCCTGAATTGACTGCTCCTTTCTCACATAACCATTCTGTTTCTTTCAACTCATTAAGCCATGACAGTCAGGAATTAATTAAGAACATCTCACATGATTGTGAACCATACTCTTATGAGGAGGCAGCCTTGAATCCTGCCTAGCAAGTAGCAATGACACAAGAATTTGATGCTTTATATGCTAACCATACTTGGGACCTAGTTAAGTTACCTGCAGGTAAGAAGGCCATAGGGTGCAAGTGGGTGTACAAGATAAGCACAAGGCAGATGGCAGTGTGGAAAGATACAAGGCAAGGCTTGTGGTAAAGGGTTATACACAAGAAGTTGGGATTGACTACACAGAAACTTTCTCCCCAGTGGTGAAGATGACCACTGTTAGAGCCCTGATCAGCACTGCAGTGAAGAAAGGATGGGACCTCTATCAGTTGGATGTCAACAATGCGTTCTTGCATAGAGACTTACATGAGGAGGTTTACATGGAGATTCCACAGGGTCTGAAGGTAGAAGACACACAACTTGTGTGCAGATTAAGGAAGTCCTTGTATGGCCTTAAGCAAGCCAGTAGACAGTGGTATGACAAGCTAGCAGAGTCTCTGTATTCTAGAGGTTTCAAGCATTCAACCAATGATTACTCCTTGTTCTACAAAAAGCAAGGTGAGTCATCAGTTTTTGTAGCTGTATATGTTGATGATGTGATTGTTACTGGAACTAATCTTGAGGAAATTAGAGCACTGAAGACTTACCTACACAACCAATTCAAAATAAAAGACTTGGAAAAGTTACATTACTTTTTGGTGCTAGAGATACTTTACAAAGATGATGGAGTATTGGTGTCCCAAAGGAAGTTTATCACTGATCTTTTGAAGGAATGTGATTGTATGGGGTACTCTGCTGTTTCATCTCCATTGGATTCATCAATCAAGCTGAAAGCTGAAGAGGGCCCCTTAATGTCTGATCCATCCTACTATAGAAAGCTAATTGGAAAGCTTAACTTTCTCACAAACACAACGCTAGATATAGCATATAGTGTACATCATCTAAGTCAATTCATGCAGACACCAAGAGAGGCTCACTTGAAAGCTGCTATACATGTACTTAGGTATCTGAAGAAAGACCCTACACTGGGCATTTTTCTGTCCAATGATCCTTCTTACAAGATCACAGCCTACTGTGATTCAGATTGGGCAGCATGTCCTGACTCAAGGAGATCTGTAAGTGGGTATCTAGTGTTATTTGGAGGAAGCCCCATCAGCTGGAAGTCGAAGAAGCAAACTACTGTTTCATTATCTTCTGCAGAGGCAGAGTATAGATCACTGAGAAAGGTGGTTGGGGAATTGGTATGGGTGCAAAGGTTATTGGAGGAACTCATAGTCTCATGTCCTGATCCCATTCAAGTGTTCTGTGACAGCCAAACAACAATACACATTGCTAAGAACCCAATATTTCATGAAAGGACAAAACACATAGAGGTTGACTGTCATTTTGTGCGAGATAAACTGCATGATGGTTTGATCACACTTCACCACATTTCCACTCATGATCAATTAGCTGATATTCTAACAAAGGCTCATACAAGAATCAAACATTCAGATCTTCTACACAAGTTAGCAGTGAAACCTTCACTTCCAACTTGAGGGGGGTATTGAGATTATTGTATTTTGTGGTATGTTAGTATATTGTATTTATCAGATAGTTAGTTGGGTGTAGAAGGGTAGTATAGTCATTACAGTCATTAGCTATGATTCTATTTTCACACACGTGTATATATGCTTTGTCTCTTAACAGTTGCAGAATATAGAGAAAATTCCCAAACTCTCTCTCTTTCTAGAATATTCTTCTTCTCTCTAATGAAAGCTCGAGGTCAGCCAACAATGGAGGTTGGCCTTGTACGCTAGCTTCATTTCGACAAACTACGAGTTACAAGATTCCTATCTATGAGTCTTCTGAAGCTTGATCTTGAGTCTTGGTTGGTTCTTCATGCGGACTCTGATCTGAATCTTGACGCTTGTTAGCTGCAGGTGTTGTTTCAATCTTCTTCAGCTTTTCAGATCAAGACGGGACATGCGGAGCTTGTGACTTCAATTATGTCTTGAGCAGTCCACATCTTTTCTCCGCTTCTGCACTTTCGATTCACTTCTTTTCCTTGTTCTTCTTTTTCTTTATTCTGGATTGAGACTCATTCTTTTGGTCGTCTCGAACCCAGTGCCTCGAGGTGAAACCTGCTCAGACACCAAAACAAACAAACGAACGAAATTTTTCTGGCCCAGTTTTCACTAGGAAAATTTCGTTAGTTATTGTAACAAAATTCTAAACTACTTCTTTATTGAAAGCAATAGAAGTCAAAATTGTGTATCCTTGGGAAAAAGAGATTAGGGAGTGGAGACCCTATATCTAAAATGAAATCAACTGTGGAGTGGAGATCCTATGTGGGAAAAGAGACTAGGGAGTGGAGACCCTATGTCTGAAATAAATTGAACTAGGGAGTGGAGACCCTATGTTGGAAAGGCAGACTAGGGAGTGGAGTGTGACGACCCAAAGGGTCATCACCTGTTCTTAATTGACTTCTGTGTCTCCGAGGCCTTGAGAACCTCATTTAGAGTTACCTCAATTTGCGTGCACAGTCCGAGCGCATAGCCGAAAAGCTTAAATATGAAATTCTGTGAAAAATGCTAAGTTTTGATCTTAAAATGAATAAATTTGACTTTGGTCAACATTTTGGGCAAATGGACCCGGACCCGTGATTGACGGTCCCGGATGGTTCGTAGGAAAATATTGGACTTGGGCGTATGCCCGGAGTCGAATTCCGAGGTTCCAAGCCCGAAAAATAAATTTTTTTGTAGAATTATTTTCTGGAAATGTTTAAGAAAATTGGAAATGAAATCTGATTAGAAAGCGATGGTATCGGGCCCATATTTTGGTTCCGGTGCCCGGTAAGGTCTTATATATGGTTTAAGTCATTAATGTGAAATTTGGTTGAAAACGGACGTCGTTTGACGTGATTCGGACCTAAATTGGAAAATTTGATATTTTATGAAGTTTGAAAGAATTCTTGGATTTTAAGGTTTAATTCGATATTTATGATGTTATTTTGGCGATTTGATCGCATGAATAAGTCTGTAGGATATTTTTGAGGTTTTGTGTATAATTGGTTTGGAGCCCCGAGGGCTCGGGTGAGTTTTGGATAAGCCACGGGTGCATTTTTTAACTTTGAAAAAAATCTGGTATTCCTGTTCTGCAGTTTTCGCATTTGCGAAGTAGGTTTCGCAAATGCGAGCCTGGCATCGCAAATGCGAGAAGGGAATTTTTGGCAGCCTGATCGCAAATACGACCAAATGATCCGCAAATGCGAAACAGGGCCTGTCGCAAATGCGACATTTTTGATCGCAAATGCGAAGCCCCTCAATTTGTGCAGTGTTCGCAAATGCGAACATCACTTCGCAATTCCCACATCCGAGAAGTCGGGGTTCGCATTTGCGAACCCCTGTTCGCATTTCCATATTCGAGACCTGCAATTTTCTATACGTAGCCGATTTTTAAGTCATTTTTAGACCATTTTCAAAACACAACTCCTTTGGGCAATTTTTCAAGAACAAATCTTCTTCCAAATCAATTGTAAGTTAGTTTTTACTCATTTCTTTCAATCATTTACATCTTCTAACATGATTTCAACTTAAAATCAAAGATTTTCATGGGAAAATTGGGTGTTTTAGGTAGAACCTAGGTTTTTCAATAATTGGGGATTTGGACCTCGATTTGAGGTCCGATTTCTAAATAAATTATATATTTGAGTTCGTGGGGGAATGGGTAATCGGGTGTCACGCCCCGAACCTGGGGAGGCGTGGCTGGCACTCGGTGCCAAGCTGGCCCGAGCGAACCACTCTGTAACTCATTTTTTTTTTTTGTGATCATCATGGGCCAACATGGCCACAACTCACAATGTATAACTATAAGTGGATATACACTACATCAATGAACACTTTTCTTAAAACATGAATACTTATGGGCCGTCAAGGCCTCTGACATACTGTACAAAATGAACGTCTGTCTACAAAGCCTCTAAGATAACTTGACATCAAATGGGACAGTGTACCGGCCAACCCATAAGTCTATAGCAAAACTCTGACATGATGACTCATAGACTCGGCTGCACTCCGAATGAGATGGAGTCTTACCGATCCTTCACTGAATGCCAATCTCGTCTACGATGAGGGGTTGCCAAACTAATTATCTATACCTGCAGGCATAAATGCAGCGTCCCAACAAAAGGACGTCAGTACGAATAATGTACTGAGTATGTAAGGCAGGACTGAAATATAACAATAAGTCAACATTAATTACAGACATATAAGAATCAACCTGCATCTCTGAAGTGCTACCGTATGTTAATNTCGGGACCTGCGGGCATGAAACGCAGCGTCCCTAGGCAAAAGGGACGTCAGTACAAATAAAGTACCGAGTATGTAAGGCAGGAAAGCATAAACAAGAACAGTAATGTAAAGAGAGATAGGGGAGATATAACCTGTAACATCTGAGTGCCTCTGGGGCTACTAGCATGAAATGCATAATACATATATATATATATATATATATATATATACATACATAAACTTTTAAAAACATACGCCTCTGTGGGCATCATCATCATCATATCGTACCTGGCCTCAAAGAGGACTCGGTAAAAACGTACCCGGCCATCATAAGGCTCGGTAGAATCGTACCCGGCCACGTGGAGCTCGGTAAACCCAACTGATCAGTGGTTGCACACTAGGTGCCGTACCCGGCCGACTATAGCGCGGCTCGATAGAATAAAATAGATACATATATATAATGCATGCTCGACTCATGGAATCACATTCTAAACCTTTCAAAGTGACGTAAGGTCGTTGAACCTTCGATTAACATTATGGACATCATACCATCAATATGAACTTCACTAGGACTCAAGGATCATACATACTTTCTTAGAATAAATTTGTACGGAAAGAACAATATGGACAACCTTAGTTGCTAGGAGTAGATTCATTATGAAATAGCGTATTCATTTCACATTAGATCATACCAAAAGAAAGAAGGAAGTGCCTTAACATACCTGTCCCTTGAATTATTTGAATGAAATAAAGTTCTGCTTCTATGGAAATTGTTGAACGCAACAGAATAAAGCTCCTGCTTCTTTGATTGTTGAACGAAACTGTGCTTGATTTTTTGAAGCTTGGACGAGATTTGCTTCTAATGAATTGAAATGAAATGTTTCTGCTTTTCTCACGTTTTTGGTAACCAAAGACAGAATGAAATTTTTGGCTAAAGATAAGAGTTTAGATGAAAATGGTTCTGCTTCAATGCAAAAGTAACGAAAATGAAGCCAAAGGCATTAAATGAGGCTAAATATATTAAAATGAATCTCAAGACAGATTTGGATAAGTTTGTATAAGTCTTTCTAAGACTTTAAGTCATTATTAAGTAGCCACCTAGAATTGTGACTACTTAGTCACTTTCTAGGCTTTGTGGCTTCTTTCCACGTGTGGGGGTAGTTTACTAATTATTTATCCACTTATTAGTTAACTCGGTAATTTTCTGTTACCCGGTAATTAATCAATTACCCGCATAATTTAAAAATTATCATAAATTACTTAAAAATTCTATTTATTTTTAAAATACTTCATATATACTTTATATATTAGACTACCGTGGTCATATGGTACCTTGCATGGTACTAGTTCATAATTATCGGGTATTATCGCTCGACCCGTATTTTATCCCAAATTGGCCACTTTCAACGAAACTCCTTTTCTTTAATTCGTGTACCCCTTTATCCTTCATAGCACTTATTTATCGCTTGTTATAAATAGCGTAATCCTTATAATCTCCAAATAATCTTATTCTCGAATTTACGTCGATTAATCTTACGACGAAGCTTTAATGTTCGGCGACGCTTTAATGTACGATAATGCGAAATATAATATCTCATTTTTGGACTTTCATTAGTTTACTTATGGCGTACTTTCACGCACGAAAACCTGGGATGTAACATCATTCCCTCCTTTGGAACATTCGTCCTCGAATGTTGACTAGTGCACTCTATCATTTTCGTAACTTATGTCTTCTGAATACTTTGTACTCTTCTTTCCATCATGACAACTGTTCTGTGTGTAAATCCAAATGCTAGGGCATTCCCCCCTTTAGGCCTTTCTCACACACCACGACTTGTGGTCGAAATTCATTCAATCTTGTAACTGTTGCTACCTTTTGTCATGCAACCTGTACGACTTCTTCCTACTATGTGCGCCTATGGGAGTCTTTCCTTTAGCTTTTAGCCAATCGTCTTTCCTTAGTTTGGGAACATATACATAACTTTGACAAGATGTCCCTTTGGGTATCTATAGGTGTACTGAAGTTCTTTACTCGATACTTTGTAGAACTTGCGAATATGGCCATATCTCATTTCATAGATATGTTTACCCATTCATATGACTTTACTGCATTTACATGGGTTATACTATACCATAATTTTTGCTTCAATCTACCTTTACTGAGGTATGCTTACCAAGCTCCCAGTTACTTTTGTTGCCTACCCTTTAGGTATAAATCTCAGTCCTTCAATGCCCTTTCATTACCGTTCGGCTTAAGAATCATGGCC